GCCCCCTTACACTGGTAATGATTGTCAAAGACATGTCTTCAGAACGTTACTTCCTCTATCTACAAGAGTCAAATTGTCCCTACGATGTCCCCAGCTAAGCAGGTTCCCGGGACTTTCCCTAGTCACCCAACCCTAGTTCCCCACGCACTTCAGGGACACTCCAGACAGTAAGAAAAAAACTAGGCTCCTCTTTTCTTTGATGCTTTCCTCTCCTGGTGTTTCCTCGCCGGCCATCTTGTTTTTAGGGGACCTCCCCTTCATCTACCACACCCTGAGGGTCGCTGGTGGCAGGTTAGCGCTCTCATTCGCAAGTCTCAGCCCTCTGGGATGGCATTGATCATATTTGTCACCCTGGTGCCCTTGCCAAGACAGGATGAAGATGAGTCTGATGTGACATACACTTCATCACTATTCCTTGGTCACCCTGAGCTTCCTCTAAGTAGAGGTGGAGGCAGCTGAGTCAGAGCATCTGGGAGAGATTGGGAGACCCCAGTTTCTGCCCACTTCATGCAAAGCACTGTCCCTGATTGAAATGACTGGAACAAAATACAGGGTGGAGAGCTGTACTTTCTCCCTGTCACCCTGCACTGTGCCTTACTCCTGCATGGGCTTGTCCTACCTGTCACGGCTTGGCTTATTACTCAACATAAAATTTTAACAACCAGTTTTGGGTGGTCTCTACAGCTTCTGCAAGTCTCCATCCAAGTTAGCTTGTGGCCTTCCTGATGCTATTCTTACAAATCTTAGCTTGGGACACGTCATTCATTTATTCAGTGAATGTTTATCGAGCACCTACTAATTGCCAGGCACTGGGCAGTCACTGGACATAAACACTGAAAAGTTAGGAAGTGTCTTCAACAAATGATGCTGTAATAACTGGACATCCACATGCAGAAAATGAATCTAAACACAGACTTTATACCTTTCATAAAAGTTTACTCAAAATGGATCATAGACCTAAAGGTAAAACATAAAATTGTAAAGCTAGACAAAAATCTACATACCCCTAGATGATGTTTTTCTAGATACGACACCAAAGAGATGACAAGTGCCTTCAACAAATGGTGCTGTAATAACTGGACATCCACATGCAGAAAATGAATCTAAACACAGACTTTATACCTTTCATAAAAGTTTACTCAAAATGGATCATAGACCTAAAGGTAAAACATAAAATTGTAAAGCTAGACAAAAATCTACATACCCCTAGATGATGTTTTTCTAGATACGACACCAAAGAGATGATCCATGAAATAAATAATGGATAGCTGGATTTCACTGAAATAAAAAATTCTGCTCTGCAAAAGACACATCGGATAAAGGACTGTTATCCAAAACATACAACGAACTCTTAAAACTCAACAGAAAACAACCTGTTTAAAAAGTGGTTGTTTTCTTAAAGACCTTAACAGACACCTCACCAAGATATACGGATGGCAAATAAACATATGAAAAGTTGCTCCACATCATACGTCGTTAGAGACATGCAAACTAAAACAACAATAAGATACCACTATACACGTGTTAGAATGGCCGAAATCCAGCACACTGACACCACCAAACGCTGGTGGGGACGTGGAGCAACAGGAACTCTCATTCATTGCTGGTGGGAATACAAAATGATGCAGCTGCTTTGGAAAACGGTTTGGTGGGTTTTTTACAAAACTAAACATACTCTTACCATACATTCCAGCATTTGTGTTCCTTGGTATTTTCTCAAAGGAGTTGAAAACCTATGCCTACACAAATGCCTGCACACGGATGTTTATAGCAGCTTTATTCACAATCGCCAAAACTTGGAAGCAACCAAGGTGTCCTTCGGTAGGTGAATGGACAAACTGTGGTGCATCTAGAGATTGACTACTGTTCGGCACTAAAAAGAAATGAGCTACCAAGCCACGAAAAGACGTGGAGGAAACTGAGATGCATATCACTGAGTGAAAGAAGCCAATCTGTGAAGTCTGCATATGGTATGATTCCAACTGTACGACATTCTGGAAAAGGCAAAACTACGGAGACAGTGAAAAGATCCCAGGGGTTGCCAGGGGCGGGGGGAGGGAGAGGTGATTCGGCAGAGCACAGAGGGCGTTAGGGCAGTGAAACTACTCTGCGTGATCCTGTAACGATGGGTGCACGTCGTTACACACGTGTCCAAACCCACAGACTGCACAGCACCTAGAGTGAACTCTTGGGGGATTACGAGGTGTCAGTGGAGGTTCATCCTTGGTAAAATGCACCACTCTGGCGAGTGATGTTGATAACGGGGAGGCTGTGCATGTGTGGGGGTGTGTGGGAGATCTCTGTGCCTCCCTCCCGATTTTGTTATAAACCTAAACCTGCTCTAAACAAATAAAGTCTTAAAAAAAAAAGTTTCCTGAGGTCTTTGACCAGATGGAACTTGTCTTCTACTGCAAGAAACAATACACCAGTAATTGAATGAGTATTATGTGCTCTGAAGGCCTTAAAACAGGACAACGTGGCAGAGAGAGGGTGCTGAGAATCCATACTTAGGATGAGCGAGGAAGAGAAGACATTTCAGCTGAAACGTAGAGAGGAGAGAGGCCAGCCATGTAATAACCTGGAAGAAACGTAGTTATGACGGGAGAAACAGCAGAGACAAAGGCCCTGCGTCAGGAAGGAGCTCGGCAAGCGAGAGGAGTAGAAAGAAGGTCAGTGTGGCTGGACTGGAGTGGACATGGAGCTGTCACGAGGTTGGAGGTAGGCAGGGGTCAGATGCTGCTGGGTTTTCAGGTCCGGCGACGGCTGGCTTTTAACTCCAGCCCGCTGCAGGGCTCTGAGGAGCGGAGTGCTGAGGCTTGGTTTTGATTTAGTCTGAGGTCTGAGTCCCTCTGAATCTCGACCCACGGGCGGGTGCTCGATGCTGCCACACACTTGTTGCCTGTGACTCTACTTCCTTCCTCGCAGTAGCGTTTGTGCAATCTGAAATGCATTTCGAGAGCTTCCCCTGTCCCTCCGGAGCCCAGGCAGCAGCTGACCCTTAGTTCCCTTACGAACACCAGTCACCCCTGTCCTTCCTCCCCGCTCCATCGGACCTCAGTCCCTGCATCTGAGAAGTGGACAGGTGGGACCCAATGATGATTATGGCCTCTTCAGTTCTCTCGTTTTACCTTCGGGTGGTGGTGATTGGAAGAGGATGCAGCGAAAGTGAGGGAGAAATGAAAGCGAAAGATGAAGCCGTTCCTCCGGTTTCCAAGAAAAGCGGCAGAGGTGGGGGTGGGGACAGACAGACAGTCGGCTGGGAAGAGGGAGATTTTTAGAAAGCTGGGCGGGCAGGGACCTGTGACCCAGGCTTTCGTTTCTCCTAAACACCCCACGGCACCATGTGACGCAGCTGGGCCACAGAAGCCGTGAAAGGGGAAGCGAGGAGCTCCCAGAATTTCTCAAGAAGCAGAGCGCTGGACAGAGGCTGAGCCGCGAGGGAGCGTCAGGGGGGACGCGGAGGGGAGGCACGGGAAGCCGTAGGGGGACAGGGAGGCGGTGGAGGAGACGGCAGAGGGGGCCCCGGTGGGACGCAGAGGGGGCCCCTGTGGGAGGGCACCGTCCCCAGGGTGCGGGCCAGGTGTCACGGGGGAGGGGACAACAGGGCGCCCAACCGGGGAGACCCACTGTTAAAAAGGAGGAGGGGCAGAGAAGCGGAGAGAGGAAGGGTGCTGAGGAGTGGGGGGCGGAGAGAAAAAGTCGGGGGAAGAGGGAAGGACGGTTCGCACCGGGTGGAGGGAGAGGAGAGCGCTGAGGATTAGGGAGCAGCGGCGGGACCTGGGTAGCAGCGGAGGGACCCGAGAAGGGGAGAGGGCCTGGCAGAGGGGAGAGAGGAGGGAGGGGGGTCAAGGAGGAGAGGAGAGTGAGCACAAAGGGGTGAGAAGGGACGGCGGCCACCTGGGGGTCGGGGACGGGGGGAGACAAGGAGGGTGAGGCCGCCGGGGAAGCGCAGAGACA